AGTAAACGACCAAGGACAGTTGTCTGAAGTTCAAGGACAACCTGAGGATCAAACTTGTCGATTTTACAACGACGAGTCAGAAACAGCTGAACATATACTCGAAGACACAAAATTTTCGAATCGACTTAAAACAGCAACGATCACTATTGCCAAAAAAGTCTTGGCGGTGGCAGAAAAAATATGCTCCATACAATAATCTGCTCCATATACAAGAAAGGACAAAAACTGTTCTCTCAAAACTACCCTGAAATATTACTGTTATGTACGCGATATACAGAAAAAGGTTATAGGTGAATATCCAACAAGATACTTATAGACTCCAAACAAGCATACAATTCTGTCGATAGAAAGCAACTACTTAACAAACAACTACAAAGCTAGTAAGATTAATAGAAGTCACATTAACATACAGGCATGAGTTCGTATACAAAATAAGCTAATCGAAACATTTGTCATCACGAAAGGGCTAAAACAAGCAAATGTGCTGCCTCCAACACAGTTTTACCTCATTGTTAAATATATAATAAGGAAAATGGAAATAATAAATTGGCTGAATATGTAGACGATATCAACATTATGAGCAAAACAATGAAAGATGCAGTAGAAACATACAAAGTAATGAAAGAAACTGCTAAAGTAGTAGGATTACGTATTAATAAGGATTAAATAAAAATTATGCTCCAAAGCAGAACCAAAGCTATGGCTAACAAGATTATGGAGCACCAAATCGAGTCAAGGCGAACAAGGCTTGGCAGAGAACAGGGAGAGTGTCGACGAAGAACTTTGTATATTTTGTACTTGCAAACACATTCAAGACAAAAACAATACACCGCTTAAAAAATACTTAAAAACTAGCATACGGAGACTACAATAGGAGGGTCATGTTTCAAGGGTAAAAGAAAAAAGACTCCATAAAATGTTAATAAACATAAATATGTAAGGAGTGAGATCGAAAGGAAGGCTATAAAAAAGACAGCTCGAGAGATTTTGGCGTAACCACGTCCGTAGAATGTCAAATAAGAGCAGGAGCACCTGCAAAGAGATGGAGAGACAACACAAGCAATCAATTTCTCAGGAGGTATCTTATAGGCAGATGTTATCAGGAGCAACAGACCCAACCGTCTATAGTTCATTTATTCTATTGCTACCACATATATTGAAATCATTGACTTTACTAAGCGTTTATTTATTTTCTATTTATGTCTTATTTTTGTCTATGTTTTCTAATTGAGTCAAAAATTCATCAAATTTACCTTTACTATCCAAAATTAATAAGTTTTCTAGAAGATGTAAACCACGAAAATGGCAAAAAAATCAATTTCCGCAACTACCATTTCAACAATAACCTTATTAGCTTAGGCTGGTTATGTATAATAATTTAATTTTTAATTGAGATTGACACATAACGCCAATACCTACATCGCTCACGAATACAATTATGATAATAATTATTATACTTATTATGCTAATAAGTAATATATAGAGGGAAGAGCAAATACAGCAAATAAACGATTGAAGGAAAAGCATGATATGTCGAATTTATGATATACAGGGTGTATCAGATATGAGTAGAAAAAATTTGAGGAGTTATAGGTCTCCCCTTTCTGAATAAAAAATTCTTATAACACAATGTCCCATTCTTTGTCCTTCTTAAGATATGATACCATAAAGTTAAGGGTTCACAAGTTTGAGTACTAGTTAATGAATTATACTAAGCAGACTTTGTTTTGCAACTTATAATTTGTTTCTAGTTTTGTAATTTTATTGTTTTTAATACAATAAGCAAGTTTTTTTCTATTAAAACCTAAATTTGTGTAAATTTTCCATTAAAGAGTGATAAAACAGAAGTGATAAATTTATTCGTATAAACAACCTCTAAAAAAATATCTCAAAAATGACTTTTATGTGCCAAATTAAAAATTATAATTAAAATATAATTCTTTATACAGCAGTACTTAAACTTTCAAACTCTTAACTTTATCGTATCATATCTTAAGAATGGCGAAGAATGGGACATTGTGTTATAAGAATTTTTTATTCACAAAAAGGGGACCTATAACCCCTCAAATTTTTTCTGCACATACCTGATACAGCCTTTATATTATAAATTCTCTGTAGGCATAAAAGATGCATACACCAGCTCACAGATTACAAGTATTGCGTAGAATTCTGGGATCAGTTCAAGACCAGAGGTGTATGCTGAAGATGAGGAAGTACAACATATCTCGTTGTTGTACCTTAGCTTTTCAAAGATGTTACCATGTCGGAATTCATCAGAATACAAAGGATGAAGTGGGTCGGACATGTGATGAGAATGGAGTAATGCAAACAAGGCACTCAATGCACGAATACAGAAAAGGAGATTTGAGGGAAAACCATGGCAACTGAGTGTTTTATAAAGAATGATTTTGGAGCATCTACTTTAAAATGAAAAGAATAGACTCCAGAAAGGTCTAATTTTTCACCATTATCAGTGCGTGCATTTTTTGAAATGTTAGATAGCAAAGGTTCTAAATTCATGAAATCGTTTTGTTGCATAATCGTGACCACAAATGGATGTTTTTTATTACTTCCTTCTATAACTTTGTTACTTTAACTTTATACTTATTTTCTCTGTCTTTTCTTTATTAAGGCAAAGTCACGATCGGATGGCAAGTGAGTATGCCCATTCACTAAAAAGTGATGGGTGATACTCTTAAATTGCTTCTCTCTAATTAACTGTAGCCAGAGAGACATAATGACTCAATTTTTGTTTTGATCTGGTCAGTTATCCGTAAATATTACAAGATTCTCCACACCAGGTTTAATATTTTTAAAAAATTTTATCTTAATGGACCCTATCTCATCCGCTCCTCTGTTGACCTTTTCTTCTATCCAAAAATACATAAAACCCTGTTCATTAGTGCAGTGATGAAGACCCAGATTATAAAGCCAAATCTTTCGGCAGTAAAAAGTTTCTGTTGCAGGTCGAATGAAATACCATACTTTTGATCTGCTTTTGCCTTAGATTCTTCTACTTCGCTTTTTAATAAGCTTTGCATTGCAGCCGCTCTACTTTTGTGCAAATTGGACTGTGTTTTTAGTTTTTATAATTTCTTGTCATTATTTTCACAAGCTATTGTACTGTTAGATATTTTTAAATTAAAATCGTCGCAAGTTTTGCAAGTGTCAGATTTAGGTAATTTAAATCCAATATTATATTCCGTACAAAACATTTTTCAATAAGCACTTTCTTGACACCAAGGAACATAAAACTCTTTGTAAAGTGTAGCGATGGTCATATCACAGTTTAAATAGGTTCTCTCAAAATTGTCAAGTTCTAACCTGCAGATTTTAACGCTGCAGTGTTAATGTAAGTACGAGATTTTAAGATAAGTAGAGCCGTCTGGACGAATAACTTTGTACACATTTTTATGCAGCTTGTGATACTATTGCAAGATGAGAAAATAGTAAAATCTCATTTTTGCAGATGTGGCTTGTCACGTTCTAGCAAAAATCCCTTCAATTATGTGGGAAGCAATATTGGCGGCTTAATTTTCCCACTGAAAGTCGTGTACTATATTTGTAGAAAATCCAAGTAGAGATTTTATGAAGCAGATCATGTGAAGATATTCAAGCCACCGGATGTTTCCCCAACAAACAATACTGATATCGACGATGAAGGCTAACTATCGGGGCACTTGAAAGAATATCACCTAGTTGATACCATACCGTCATGTTAGGTTATTACAGCTTCTTAGTGAGATGTTTGATAGAATACTGCTGATCAAATTTCAAACGCATAATAACAATCTACCAATTTGGCTTCAGAGAGTAACATTGAACAGAGTTTCCTTAAAATTATTGAACACTTCTAAGCAAATATAAATCATCGTTCTCAAAATAATAACCCACGTAAATAATTTAAATAATAATAATTTAAAGATCCAAAGAGAGGTCCCCTTCTTGTTTAAATATAGACATTTAATACGTTTAATATTATTCCACTTCTACTTCTATCGCAAAAATCTTTAATCTAACTTTAAAATCGTTAAATTATTTGGGTCAAGTGTTTTTTTTGATATTTATTTAAAAAAGAATAATTGAACTCGTGTAGTGAAACGACAGATTGATTCTTGATAAAATTCCATGTATTTTTTTTTGTTTTTATCAATCGACACATGTATTAAGAAATCGTCAATCTCTAGAGAGTACCAATATTATTAATAGTACATTTGTTAATTAAGTGATAAATCGTTGAAAAGGCTACACGCGGTCTCAAAATATCGGTTTGGTTTAAACCTGATTAATTCTTTGTAATAAATATTTTTCAGATATCAATACATTTTTATCGTTAATGATGATCTTGATTTTCGAAAGTGTTATGATTTACGTAGGTGTTTTATAAATATTTACAATAAATTCTAAAGTATATTCGAAAGAAATTAATTAGTTAAGATGAATCAATTTTAATTTAAAATTACATTCTCTAATGAATTCAACAATTAATTCAAGGAAACCTTTCAAAGATCATCTCTCAAACCGGATTGATTCATTGTTGTAACGATAAAGTATAAATTAAGAATAAAAAAAGGAATTTAATCGTTTTTCATTGATTTCTTCCGGTATTTTATGGTCGATTTACGCGACCTTTCAAACGGTACTTAGGTATCGATGTCCTTCATGTATTGCTAATCGTCGCGGAAAGTTTAAAGAGAGAATTGACTTAAAGAGGATTGTCTTAAGAAGGACATTTTGAAGGACACATGGTCTAAATAACGTCACAAACATTACGACAATCGCCAATTATCTGGTACACGCGGTTGGTCTGATTGAAACTTATTGCTTCCGGTCAATTTTCAAGGCTATCAAGGACCTAAATGGCCCATTGTCGACTCGAATTGGCAACACTTACCATATTTATCAAATTTAATATATTAAGCAGATCAACAGAAGGAAGTAATCGCTTTTAAAAATCTTTAAGTGTATACAGATTCTATCAATTTCTTTTGTGGACTTACCAATAATTGAACGCAATGTGTACATAATATTCCAACGATTATCGTACCAACGAAACCGAAAATCAAACCGCCGTTCTTGAAAGCATTTGGCATCGCTAATATTCCGGTACCTAAGGAACTCTTTAATAGATGGATTAAAGCCCCCGATGTTCTGCAAATAAAAATAATTGTAGAAAAAAAATAATATAACTTTACAAGATCACTTACGCCGTCGGATGGTCAACTTGTCGATGGTCAAACGGGTTGTATTCTTTTTCATTGATGGTATCTCTACTTCCCATAGGAAGTTTGACTTCATTTGACGCTAATTTGGTTCTGTAATAAAAAAAAAAATGAAACAGAGTTAATAACAAAACTAAAATTAATTATTTACTAATCAACTTCCGCACCTGATATTTTAACAAGAAAACACGTGAGTAAATCGTTCCGATAGTTTTAATTTGTTTTCTGAGGAAATGACAAACGGTAGTCATTTGAATCATTAGTGATAGATAGTGATAATGGGGAAAAGTGGATCATTTCGAAACAGGGTATATTTTCATAAAACAACGAATAATGTCAGATATGGAATAAATTGAAAATATATTCAGAGACATAAAAGGACAGCTGATCGACATCAGAAGGAAGATGAATGGATACAAAAGGGAAAATGAGGAACTTAAGGGAAAGATCGTGGAACCGGAGAAAGGTATAAATATGCTGGTAAGAGAGGTATAGCGTAAAAATGTGGTAATAAAGGGAATTAAAGAAGAGAAACTGGAATGTTTTGTAAAGAGAGAGAAAGAACTGGATATCCTTCTGTATTCAAAAAAAGTTAAAGAGCTGAAAGGAACGAATATACTCCAAGAATATGCAGAGAGAGAGATATGATTTGATGACTGAACTAAGGCAACTCAGGAGGAAAGAATTAAAGGTCATTTACAATACAACAAAATAATTGTAAAGGTGAAGCAAACGACGAAGGGAAGATAGTGGATGAGGAGTCGAGCAGGACGATATGGAAAAAGAAAAAAAGGAGACGCCCGATAAATTAAAAAAGCTAAGGGTAGAAAGAGGAGGAGACTTTACTGAGGATGAAAATGGCAAGAAGTTGGATAAGCGCAAGGAAAAGCAAGGAGAAAATAAGGAAGTTATGAAAATGGGGACGTGATTACAACTTTAACGGGAAAGAAAAGGAAAATAATGGAGGAGATGGAGAGGTTTGGGATAGAAATAATGGGAATTAGTGAAGCAAAAAAGAAAAGAAGGGGAAGCATACAAACGCATCAAACAAATATAGTTTATAGTTTTCAGGAGTCAAAAAAAAACTTGGAACAAGGAGGGAGTGGGTATAATTATAGTAGAAGAACTAAATAAAAGAGTAAATAAATATGCACCAGTAAACTCAAGAATTCAGGAATTGCGAATTGACCTAAACCGAAAGGTGAATATAATTCAAATCTACGCACCAACGGAAGGAACAGAAGAAGAAAAATACGAGGTTTTTACTCAAGTCTATAGAAAACCTTCGATAAATCCAGAGAATAAGGAGAGAAAGTAATTATAATGGGATACTGAATTGCGAGAATAGGTAATGATGTACTCAAGGAGGGAAGTAGTATAGGAGAATATGGGGATTAAGGAGAGGCAGTGATGAATAGAAATAGGCAAAGAATGTTGGAGTTTTGTCAAATAAACGACTTATTGATTAGAAACACTATACCAGAGTCAGAGGAGGCAAAATAAACATACGTTTGTGGCGGATGAAGGGAATGCTAAGAGTACTATTGATTACATCACGTACACCCGAAATCTCCAAAACAGAGTCGAGGAGGTAAAGATTGAAGCAGAAGCAGAACTGGGAACCAACCACAGACTAGTCATGGCAGCTATTAATAATATAGAAATCGAAAGAGAAGAGATGAAAACCTACCCAAAAATAAACATCCATGAACTAAGGCAGGAGGAAGAAATACTAAAATACGAAGAAAAAACAAACAACGAATTTCAAAAACTAGAACAAACAGAATTTAACACTTTAGGAAATGTGGAGAATTTTTAAAGCTATGGAGGTGTGTGGAGTGAGAAAACATAATAATCAGACAAAGAAACCACACTGGTGGAATGAAGAGGTTCGACAGGCAATCAAGAAGAAGAAAGTGTCATGGAAAAAATACATAAGAACGAATTCGGAAGAAGATAGAGCAAACTACAGAATGAACACAGATGCAGCTAAAAATATGGTAAAGGAGGCGAAAAAGAATAGTTGGGAAGAGTTCGGAACAAGCTTAAGTGAAATATACGGATCAAGTAACAGGACTATCTGAAATCAAATCAGAAAACTGAAGGGAGATCAAAGGAAACCAATAAAAGCCGTCAAACATAAAAACAACGAGATAAAGACAACTATAAGGAAAATTCTGGACATATGGGCGGATTTTTATGCAGAAGTGATAGCAATGGAAGAATTAGGAGAGGCAATGATAAAAATGAAAACAGACAAGGCTTGCGGCAAGGACAAGATAGATCTGGAGACGATAAAATATTTGGGAATAAAAGGGAAGGAGTTGCTTAGTAGGAGTAAGAACATATAAAACCGCGTGGGAGTCGGAAGCAATCCCGAAAGATTGGGAAGATTCTGTGGAAATTATAGAGCTATATGCCTATCATCTACAAGTTACAAATTATACATAAAGATAATAGAAAAAATGTGATGAGGAGTAGTGGAAAATAAACTACAAGATGAAAATGCAACATACAGAGCAAGCAAACAAACGAATGATAACATATATGTAATTCGAAATACCTATCATTGAAAAGAAAATAGAGACGGGCAATGAACTATACCTAATATTCTTGGACCTAAAAGCAGCTTTTGACATGATTAACCATAGTATTGTATTGTATTTAAGTGTCTAGAATGGTACCACAAAAACTAACAAAAATAATAGAAAGCCAAAGTACAAGGAAGTAAATGACATAGTAAAAGGCATAGTAAATTGAAGGGAGAAACATCAAACACTTTTGACATGAGCAAGGGAATAAAACAAGGCGATAGCCTAAGCCCCTTATTACTTATAATATGAATGGAGAGAATGATCAAAAATACAAGAACAAATAAATATCATAGTTGGAGTTGTGTATTTTTCTTATCATTGTGTGAATTAAATAAATTAATTGTTTAAGTGCAGTTTTTAATTTATTTAAATAAATACCAAACAGTAATAGGTTATAAAAGTTTGGAAACAGTAAAAATGGATAATTTACTCTATGCTGAGGATATAGTGCTGATAGCAGAGAACCATAAAAAGGCAAAGAAATTAGTTGAAATATGAACAGATGAAATTGAAAAAATGGGCCTAGAATTAAATGTAAATAAATGTAAAATTGTGATAATAAATAAAAAGGAAATAAGAAATAACCCGAAACAAATATATTTTAACACGTTCGCTGCCGACTACGAGTTAACTCGTATCTAAACCATGGTTAACGGAGTCGCTCGGCAGCGAACGTGTTAAGGAGCAAAAGATAGAAGAAGTATGAGTATTTGGGCAGTATAATATCACAAGAGGGAAGGATAGATTTAGACATAAATGCAAGAATAAGGAAAACAAACAACGTATATCATACTCTAAACAGAATAATTTTTGGGAAGGGGAAGATAGATAAGAAGATAAAATTGAAAGTGTACAACTCGGTGGCAGTCCCAATATTAACATATGCCAGTGAGTCATGGATTCTCCAAGATAAACAGGAAGGAAAGATCACGGCAATGGAAATGAAGTTTTTACGGAAAATAGCGGGGAAGACGAAGCGAGATAGGATAAGAAATGAGGAAATAAGACTGGGAGTGGATCAAGAGGCAACTAAACAGGTACGCCTACAGAATTACAATGGAACATAACACAATAGTAAAAAAGGTATTTGAAGCAAAGAATAAGGATAAGAGAAGGAGGGGAAGACCTAGGAAGAAGTGGGAGGAAAGAATCTAGCAGATATAAGGGAATTATCTGGCGCCATCAGCCAAAAGGATCAAGAGAAGAAGAAGAAGACTAATGAATTTTGATGTTTGTCGGAAAATTGATAAAATAGTAAAATTGTTTACTCTTTAGGTTACGAATTATAAGAAATATTAATTTAATTATCCATCGATAAACAATGAATGGAAATTTCTTCAACTTTTTATATGTACCAAGGTTATCAAGTGGGTGTTATTTGAAATAGTATTCAAGACTTTCAGCAAAATTTGCGTTTTATTGTAAACATATTTTTTCCATTGTATTTATTACTTTTATCAATTTTAAACTGAGACTAAGTGGCCAGCTGTTGTCTCTATTCAAAATGTTCACGCTGCGTTGAGCTACACAATATATTTCGAGTTTATTGCTCTCCGAGAGACTATCTTTACCACAGTTTTGAAACACTACTTTTTGGTATCCTAGAGGAGTTCTACATCGTATGTTTCAATAAAGCGCGTCATTTATTAGCAA